CAATAGAACAGACTCAAAAGGATTTTCTATCAATCAACACGAACGTCTGTCTTTGAAATGTAAAAACTGAGAAAAACATCAAATCCTCACATTTGAGGAAATGGAAACACTAAATATTTTCAATATTTTTTGTTTAATAAGTGACGTAAACCTTCAACATTGGAAATGTAATCTTCTGTAAATTAACTATTTATAAATATAACTGAAATTACATTAGCATTTTCCCTTTTCTGTGCTTTTTAATAGATTAAAAATTAATTTGATCAGTTTATCACCGGCAGAATAACTGTTGATGTATATTAAATAATTGTTAGTTGCAGGCCTTTATGCAGTTTGTTCAATTTATGTATTACAATCATTTTTTACACTATGAGCTGTTGCTGTTCTCCAGTCTGCACATTTCACTCCCCTCCCTCTTCACTTGTCTTCCTCTAGACCTTTTACGAAGACCCTCGTTATATCCTCTTCATCCACATGGTGATAAACGATGCCATCCAGCTGACCGTCACCGTCACAATTTTTGTCTTAAGCTACATCTTCTACAAGATCAACGTCTCCTTCTGCTGCTTCCTCATCCTGGTGGCCGTCTTCACCACCAGAAACACCCCGATCAACTTAGCTAGCATGGCCATTGAGCGCTACATTGCCATATGCCAACCTTTACGCCACTCGCAAATCTGCACAGTGAGAAAAACGTACATTGTCATCGGGGTGATTTGGTTTATATGCGTGGCTCCAGATATCACAGATCTGTTTGTGACTCTGGCCACTGAATCCCTGAGCTTCTTTCACGAGTCCGTGTTCTGTTTACGCCACAACGTGTTTAAAGACCCGATCCTTGCGTACAAAAGACAAGCGTTTGACATCATCTATTTCTCCTGTGTGTTCCTCACTCTGCTCTTCACCTACTTCCGAATACTGTTTGCAGCGAGAGCCGTGTCCACAGAGAAGATGTCCGCGCAGAGAGCCAGGAACACCATCCTGCTCCACGGCCTCCAGCTGGCCATGTGCCTGCTCTCCTACATTTCCCCCAGTGTGGAGCTTGTCCTGCATCTCATCTTCCCCGGTCGAATCCTGGAAATCAGATTCGCGAACTACCTCGTCGTCTACATCCTGCCGCGTTTCCTGAGCCCGATCATTTACGGCGTCAGAGACAAAAAGTTCAGGAAGTATTTCAAGATGTACCTTCTGAGCAACAGGTGCCGGAAGAAGCTGAAGAAAGTGACACCACAGCACAAAGACTGATTATATAGCAATAAAAATGGAATATTTTAAGACTGAATAAAAATGTCCACACTTAACAACGATGTTGATATTTACATTATAGCAAATGAACGTCAAATAAAAGACTGACAGGCCTCGGTTCCCGCCTCACAATTTTAAACTTCCAGCAAGAAGTCCAATTACAGGAAATGCAATATTAAACTAGACA